TCACCATCTGCGTGAGCCCCGCGTCGGTTGTACCACAGGTCCACCTCATCCACCATGTAGCCCAGTAAGAACTCTTCTATCTCTCCATCTTTCGCTCATAGCTCAACTTTTATCTGTTCACGGAACTTTCCTAGTGCAACTGTGTCTTCGTTTTTTGTATGGACATTCCCAAGCTTTCCACTCTGCTTCGACCACGACTGCCTGTACTCTGTGAGAACTTTTAAAGGTCTTACAAAGTGCAGAGAGGTACTGGAAAACTCCTTATCCTGACTGTTCCTCTCGGTCAATATAGTATAGCGAGAGTTGACAGGGACTCACACCATAGTTTAAGTCGACTGGAAACCTCATCACAGTTTTAGTCGACAGGATTGTACAAGAGGCTACCAGACTTCACCACATATATAAGTTTTGAAAATAGAGCAATCCATAAATGAATCTTCAATAAAAAAGACATATATTGGATCAAAATATTATTTATTTTACCAATATTTCAGTTGGCTGAACGCCAAAGTTTATCAAATTATTATAACATATTAATATGTTATTTTACCTTGATAAAGGTTGGCGTTCAGCCAACTGATATATTGGTAAAATGAATGATATGTTGATCCAATATATGCCTTTTAATTTAAAAAAAATATATATAAGTCTATTGTGCAATTACCACCTGTTGTTTATTTTTCTTATTCCCCCGCACCCACAATTAGATAGGATCTCATACATGAGTTGGTGATGTCTGAGAAGTCTAACTATTTTCATGGATTGTCCAAAGATCCTATTTTATAAAAGAGATGCTGTGGGCTGTTATTATCGGTTTATCCGTGTTGCATGTTAAGACATTTTACGTGTAAACTTGAGAGACCAAGGTATATTCAGTTTTAAATATCTGGGGCAATTATTCACTTTTCCTCTCTAATAATAATTTCTGGTAATCATTATTGTTAATATTGTCAAGGAGCTCCATCCAGATGGGACCCCTGTCAATCATCCCTGGACCCCCGGGGGGGGGGGGGGGGGGCACAGGTGTGAGGGGTTCTCGGAAGCTGATCTGAAAATAAGAAAAACGGGACGGTGGCTGACGCCGTTCATTAGGATTATCTTTAACTTGGGGTAAGTTGTGCTTTCTCTCTCTCCCTATAAATACCCCTTATAATAAATTAATTATTCCCAAATTTGCCCTTTCTTTATTTATCTCCGCGACAATATCTTTAAAGAGAGAGAGAGTCAGCAAGGGAATTTCTTTTTTGAAATATTGTATGACACAGTATTGTTTAAAGAATGTATATTTTTCCCCCAACTAGGCCAATTTATATATATGATCATGTGGTGAGATTTATATATGTGTATATCAATAATCTATTTTTTTCTCAAAAAAGGATACAAATGTTTTTGGCAAAAAATATTTTATTTATAAATATATTTACAAAAATTTATTCTAAATATACAAAAATCGATATAAGTTGAAAACGATTTGTTCATATATATATTTTTATCAATAAGACAAAATTTATCTTGATTTTTTTCAGCTAAATCTATTCACAACCGCTAAATATGCAATTCTGATTAAAAATACTGTTCTGAGATCTATAGAACACAACAATTCTTGATTTTGACTTTGAGACTTGATTGGTTTTATGAATTTGAGAAGGCCACAGAAGGTATTGCGTCTTTTTGACGACGACGGAAGTAGAGGGCGACAAGAACAATGGAGATGACAGCTACCAGGAGAATTATGGAAATACCAATTTTCCAGGCTAGAATGAAGTTGGAAGGATCTCTGCCCAACTTCCCCAAGTTGGCAGGGAAGATTGAAAAGCTCTCAGCTCTATTTCCACTGGCATCCACCCCAACTATAGCGAAGAACACAGTTTTGGGCTCCTCCAGAGAAACTGGAACTTTGATCGAGATTTCGTGGTAGTGACCTGGTGGAGGTGGATCCAAGGTACCATCCACAAGATCCTTCTCCACAACCATTTTGCTTGAAGTAAAATTCTTCAGTAGGGCTTTAAGATTTTCACCAAAACGGACCTCAATCGAAGACACTGAAAAAACACCATATATTTTATCAAATATGTGAAAAATATTTATAAATTTATTCTAAAAGCAACTGGCTAGGATATGCTAGTGAAAGAACTGCTTGCAATATAATGTTTAAGGAGAAGGATAAACAGAATATATTCATAAAAAATTCTCTCAATAAGAGACTATATAGTTTTATATAGTAATGAGCATTAAAGTTGGAGAAATGCTCAAAGGTGTTTTGTGTTAATGGCTTTTCGAAAAGTTTTAAATCTCAATAAAAACGTTGAAAAACACGAACTTTTGGGACAACCTTATATATTTCATGAAGATTTTGAAGAGGTCCTCACCATTTCCATAGTCCAAGTCATCGCCCGGGGAGGTCCATCGGAGAGAAACGACGTCTCCGTCAACCTTCGTCACCCTGAGGTCTGTCACAGAACATGGAGGGAACACATCTTGGACCATTCCATCTTTAGGGAATGCCTGGACTCTGAATGCTCCAGTAAATGCACTCCTCTCAAAGTCCTCCAGCAAATTTCTGGGATCCTCCTCTGGCATCTCGTCCTCTCGACGGATAAAGTCTTCGAGAGGGAATCCTGTTGTACCTTCTTTCTCTAGACACATAGATTGGATCTCTTCAATTTGTATTCCTAGTGTATCTCAAATGTATCTTTCACCCACTTCGCTTTAAAGTCTACAATATAAGGTTACACGTAGTTATAAACATCATATACTTAGTTATCATTTCTTTCAAAGCATCTAATGTGTCTTATATACCATTGGTATTTCAATATAACGATATAAATATGACTAAAACACACAACAAATTATTTTCGTCAGGCTTTGCAATTTGAACAACTCTACAATCTACGATTTATAATTTTTAGGAACAATTACTGCACAAACATATCATATACAGACATTCAATAAATTGCAATTAGAGCATACGCTGTGAGATACTCAAGACTAGAAAAAAACTATATCCAAAGATTGAAGAATTCAAAATGTGTACCTGCCAGTGTGAATACAACTCTGGTAGATGGCGAACAACATTCCAATGGGATCGCTAATACAAAAGGGGACCGAATGAAATCCAGCTTAAGCTTTCAACTTCATTCTTGTAATGAAGAAAAGGACTTCTTGTCCTTTGGAGGAGAAATAGCCTCAAAAAGTGGAGAAGATAAATTTATTTGGTCAATGAGAAAAATGTGGAAGAAAGTATTAGAAAACTACTTCTCCATCAAGCACTGTTGAGAAAACTATATAGATAAGTTTAGAGAATATTTGTCAATATAGTCACTAAAGTCTAACTATATTTTATGTACTCTAATAAAGACAACAATGAAAATTTGGGAAAGCAAAAAAAAAAAATCAGGAAAAAGCTTACCAAAAGGATAGCTGGGCTTGGTAAGAGGTGGACTTCGAGGTGGCAGAGATCTGCGCTTCATCCTCACCCCGGCATGACCGTTGTTGACCACCCTAGCCACGACTGAGTACCGTCCGTCGCCGTTAAACTGGGTGAAGTAAGCCGTGTAGATACCATCATCCCGTGTTCCATCAGCTCCAGCGCCGTTGTCCAGTAGTACAATTTCTACCAGACTTCCCATGGGGCGGTCTATTGTAGCTACAATATGAGCTCCAAGGACCGGTTCGTAACGCTATAAATCACATACACAAATATATAAAAAATTTCAAAGATAAAAATCAAATTTTAAACTACACCTACATATGTATATATATTCTTAACATAAATATACTTCAAAATAAAACGACGAATTGATATGTGTTTCTTTTATTGAAAAGCTTACAATTGTGTAAAATCTTCCTCAGGAAGCTTGACAAAGAGATACCACATTAAAGCTTGCTACATTTTAAATAAATATGCGATATTTCTATTACGCATTACTTTCGACTTCCCATACAAGTCAATAACAAAATCTACCAGCAGAAGTACGCGACTGATAATTGCTGAAATCAAACTTTTACGTTGCAATTTGGTAGAAGTGCTTGGACTTTGACAGTTTAATACTTTTGTTAGATGTCTATATTAACATTCCAACTGCCATCTTATTCAAGTTTAGACAGAGAGGGGGGTGTTTTCAGACTCTGATTAAAGATTTTGTCTATTGATAAAATTTTAATCTATATATAAAATCCTTGCAAAAATTGAAATACCAATATTATTCGCCGTTATGTATAATGTCTTTGTATTTTGTTTAAAGTAATTGTATTAGGTATTATTATGTATTCGCCATAATAATATTATTCGGCAAGTGATAAGAAAACAACGTTCTAAGAGAAACGCGAACTTTTGGGACAAGCTTATCATTTGACGCTCTTCGTTTGAATTTCTCACATGAACGGATAATCACAATTTTGAATAAATATCATAATCTATAATTATAGATGCAAGAAAATAAGATCGAATCTAAATAAATTAATAGTGTATGACGTTTTGGTAACACTGCTGTTACTCTCTGAACAATAATCAATATAATACAATATAATACACTGCGGCCTGTGATTGTAAAACGACACTTGAAGCTAGACCGCATGAGTTTCTTTTCAACGATAAATTAAAATTTTATTGCAAGGTGAAATATCGACTATTTCTATCCTTTTTGGATGAGGTATTAAAGGGTGAATTATGAAAAGTAATGACGAACGGAAAAATAAAAGTGTCCAGGGATGGGAATCGAACCCACATTGTTCCGCTTACCGGGCAGATGCCATGTCCACTAGGCTACCCTGGACGTATTTTTCCGTTCGCAAATGATACATAAAATAACTTATAATACAATATAATACACTGCGGCCTGTGATTGTAAAACGACACTTGAAGCTACACCGCATGAGTTTCTTTTCAACGATAAATTAAAATTTTATTGCAAGGTGAAAAATCGACTATTTCAATCCTTTTTAGATGAGGTATGAAAGGGTGAATTATGAAGAGTAATGACGAACGGAAAAATAAAAGTGTCCAAGGATGGGAATCGAACCCACAATGTTCCGCTTAAGGGGCAGATGCCATTTCCACTCGGCTACCCTGGACGTATTTTTTTGTTCGTAAATGATACATAAAGTAACTTATAATACAATATAATACACTGCAGCCTGTGATTGTAAAACGACACTTGAAGCTACACTGCATGAGTTTCTTTTCAACGATAAATTAAAATTTAATTGCAAGGTGAAATATCGACTATTTCTATCCTTTTTGGATAAGGTATGAAAGGGTGAATTATGAAGAGTAATGATGAACGGAAGAATAAAACTGTCCAGGGATGGGAATCGAACCCACAATGTTCCACTTACCGGGCAGATGCCATGTTCACTAGGCTAATCTGGTCGTATTTTTCCGTTCGTAAATGATACATAAAGTAACTTATAATACAATATAATACACTGCGGCCTGTGATTGTAAAACGAAACTTGAAGCTACACTGCATGAGTTTCTTTTCAACGATAAATAAAAATTTTATTGCAAGGTGAAATATCGACTTTTTCTATCCTTTTTGGATGAGGTATGAGAGGGTGAATTATGAGGAGTAATGACGAACGGAAAAATACGTCCAGGGTAGCCTAGTGGACATGGCATCTGCCCGGTAAGCGGAACATTGTGGGTTCGATTCCCATCCCTGGACACTTTTATTTTTCCGTTCATAATTACTCTTCATAATTCACCCTTTCATACCTCATCCAAAAAGGATAGAAATAGTCGATATTTCACCTTGCAATTAAATTTTAATTTATCGTTGAAAAGGAACTCATGCGGTGTAGCTTCAAGTGTCGTTTCACAACAATCAATATTTTGTAATAAATTGATAATGGAGGAACAATCCATTAAGTCCATGTCTGCCACATAAAAATAATTATGATAATTCATGATTAAAGAAAACTATCAATAATTAAAAAAGGTGTAGTTGAGTGTACCTTGGAGACATGGGCGTACACCCGAGGAATCGTAGGGAAGGTAAGCTCCAGGTCACCAATCCAGGATTTGATCCTCACTGGCTGGTTTTTGGGATCTTTGGGCTCCGAGGTTACAACCCAAGACACGTCGGAGAACCCGCTGGACCGTATCTCAGCAAACCATCGTCCAGACTGCCACAGCAGAGAGAATGTCAGAAAACACAACCATTGATAGTCAAGTATAGCAGCTACAATAGTCTATAGGAGGTAGGTGGTCAAGTGGTACACTCGATTTTCGACAGCAATTACCCGGAATCGAAACCCGAAATCGTTTTTTTTTCTAAATGACTCCCGATTCTTTCACAAGTCCTTACCCAACAGTGAGTACAAGCAACCAAACTGAGCTCTAACACACTTATAAGTGCAAAGGTCAAACTGTGGTTTCTTCATGTCTAAAGCAGTTGCAAACTACCCACTATGATTACCATGGCCTGTACCACGTTTACTAAGGATATGTACTACCCACCACATTAGTCTACCTGTTATATAGAAAGGATCCCATAATATTTTAATATATAAATAATATATAATATATATAATAAATAATATATAAATATTATATAAAATAATTAATTATAAAACACTTTTAAAAAAGCTTCGATTTAAAATGCACTAAATATAACAAAATAAATATTTCTGAAGTATTGCTTTTTTTCTGAAGGTACCTTTTAACAAATAAAATAATAGACTTAGAAATAAAAGCGGTGGGGGATGATAATCATTTATGCAGCAAATAGGTATAAATTTAATGAAAAGCATAATCTTGCTATTCATTTGCTTCATATAAAATCACATTGATCTCAAATTTATAATTATTGTACCCCACCGCTTTTATTTCTAAGTCTATTATTCTATTTGTTAAATGGTACCTCCAGAAAAAAAAGCAATACTTCAGAAATATTTATTTTGTTATTTTTGGTGCATTTTGAATAAAAGCTTTTTTTAAAGTGTTTTTTATAATTAATTATTCACGCTATTTCTAGTCTTATATATGCCAGTCCAAAAAAAAAAAAGACGACGTTGGCCTTAAATAGCTGCAAGCCTTCTCGCAGTAGATTGGTCAATTCCTCGTGGGAGGTCGAAGGTGACGTAAGCAAAATCTGTAACTAACAGAACTGCGTCTCTTTGCTTTTGGGAACCCTAAATTTATTGAATTATATTACAAGGTTAAAGACACCCAGTGGATTATTGTTAGGGGATAATTGGTACAAATAAAATTTGAATTATAAATAAACAATTGATTGAATAGTTAAAAAGTAACAACATACTAATTGAAAAAGAGGAACTATTTAAAAAGGTGTCGTGAAATGTATGGTGGTATATTGTTACACACACCTATATATTTATATATATAATGAATTCTATATACAGTTACGAGCGTCATTCTTCGTCGCCTCTGTCACGGTTTGCTTTTTTTTGGAATGGCGCCCTCCTATTGGTCGGCTACGATCACGCCACCTTTGCCCCCCCCCCATCATGCCCCCCCCCCCACTCCCATTTTTGTAACTATTGTGTTGGAGTGGGTCGCTCCTTAAATAAATGCATATATTAGTTAATAACCAAATGGAATCCTCTCTTTCTTTTTCCCAGTAAGAGACGCCTACGGAAGCCAACAGTACATAGACAGATAAAGCACATAGGCTATAGTTAGTAACTAACATAAGCATTTATTTAAGGCGCCAAATTATAATTGTAACAAATAGTATTTGAATCAAAACATTCAATCGGGTAAAACACGGGCGTTGCCCGGGTCATTCGGCTAGTATAAATATATGCGTGATGATATTGGAATAAGATGACTAAATTATAACAGATAAAATCAATATATTTGTTGGCTTTTCTCATTTATTTGCTTGTAATTCCAAGGACGTTTTAGATAGGAATCTGAATTTGGATTGGAATTGATGCCCATGTCTTGAACATTTATTGAAAAAAATCCTTTCACAACCTCCAGCATTGTCGCATTTTTAGCCAAGAAAAATTGAAATTGACAGGTTCTGGGAAAAAAATGGTTGTTTTTAGTCAGAAAATGATATTGAAAATATTGCTGTATCATGTTTGATAATCAGATACAAAATTATATAGGGAAAAAATTCCAAAAGAGCAGAGACCACGGGTGAAGCAAGTTCACTTTTAGTATGCAGAAACAAAATTCTAACAGAAAACATTCATTCGAGTAGAAGACACAAAGCCAGATCATCTATATATATAAAAATGAATGTATATGTGTGTGTGTGGTGTGTCTGTCCTTTATGCCTGACCAAATCACTCATTGGAACGCCATGAAACTTTGGGAAGTTATTCTATTTACAGTTACGAGCGTCATTCCTCAATGGCCTCTGTCACCGTTTGCTTTTTTTTTTTGGAATGGCGCCCTCCTATTGGTTGGCTACGGTCACGCCACCTTTGCCCTCCCCCATCATGCCTCCCCCATTCGCTCTTTCGTTTTTGTAACTATTGGTTTGGAGCGGGTCGCTCTTTAAATAAATGCATATATTAGTTAATAACTAAATGGAATCCTCTCTTTCCTTTTCCCAGTATGAGACGCCTACGGAAGCCAACAGTACATAGACAGATAAAGCCCATAGGCTATAGTTATTAACTAATATATGCATTTATTAAAGGCGCCAAATTTATGATTGTAACAAATAGTATTTGAATAAAAACATTCAATCGGGTAAAACACGGGCGTTGCCCGGGTCATTCGGCTAGTTTAGTATAGTACTGGGAAGGTTTCTAGCAAATACAATTTTTGAAATAACTTTTCGCCTAAAAATAATCAAGATAAATATTCTAATTTATCTGTTATAATTCAAATCTGCTCTAAATATTATCATGCATATAAAAAAATGATTATATGCCTCTTCTTTATTCCGGACCAAACTACTCATTTCATCGCAATTTAACTTTGAGAAAATGTTTAATATACTACCAGAAAGGTTTCTATCTAATTATTTGTTTGAAAAACCTTTTTTTTGGAAAAAATAAGGATAAATATTAATTAATCTGTTATATTTTCAGAACCCGATTTATTATCTCTGTATTATCTTTATATATATAAAAATCAAATTTTGTCTGTCTGTTTATTGATAAACTCAGAAACTACTTAACCAAATGTCACCAAATTTTCCACATAACTACCAATGACCCTGAAGATGAATAATTTACAATGCATTAAAATTAAGTATAGCTACTTGCTATATATATATATATATATTTGACTATTTAGAACTTTGGGGAAAGTTATAAAGCTATTTTTTTGTCAGATTTCCTTTTTCGTTTCGTTTTATTTCCCAAATTACATTGAAATTTTTATTAAAAATTATCATCATTATTAAGAAGGTTTTCAATGTGGCTGTATTCAAATTATTAATGACATTTTTGAAAGTAAACAGAGTATACGGTATTAAATATGTATAATGGGGGGAACAATGGCTTAAATATAATAGAAAGTAAGCTGAATGAAGACAAAAAAAATGTTAAGAATTCCCTATGAATTGAAATGAAGTGATTTTGCCTATAAAATATAAAAAAATAGACTGGATTGATACACATTTAAAATGGTTAAAATGGCATTTATTAAGCCAAACAGTGTGAAAAGTAGATACAGTAGAGCGTCAATTGAGAGGATGCCTAAAATCGTAGCTTAACCCGTCTCTCCAAGAGCCAGTCTCTTATTAAATGTCTATTAGAGATTCTTTAATATCAATTAGAATCTCCAATGAGAGACCACCTACAGGAGAAACAAGTTGAGTCATGTTTTTAGGTGGTCTTTCTTAAGAGACTCCATTTACATATATTAAAATCAACATTTTCTTACTGTTACGTTTAATTACTGCTAATGTCTATATATAAAAATGAATATATGTCTGTCTATCTGTCAATTATTAATTGGACTGAGCGAGTATTGTGAGTTTCATTATTCTATATGGTCTGGAAGCATATTAAAATAAAATATACAAAATTTGAAAGGAAATTTGGAAATTTGTACGTTCTTAGCCAACCTGACAACCCAGAAGTCTAAAAATTGGTCAGCTAGCATTGTCATCAGGTTTGAACATGTGTACCAAATTTCATAT